CAACACTCCTCCACTGGTCTCTTGTTACCCTCAATTTCCGAGTCCCTACGACCTTGCATATTTGATCACATGTTTCAAGGGCATATACTCCTTTGATTCCTCTTAACTTTAATGAAAAAACACGTCTTCTTTCATATTCAGAAGCAAAAATTACTTTAGCAATGAAGGAAAAAAGGAGAAAAATGAGCAACCAAAGAGATGCTTCAAATTTTTTCCAGCCTTAACGCATGCATGCGACCACAGCGGTAAAGTATGAAGCAAAAGCTAGCTATGCTGTTTACCTCAGCTAGGACTACACAAAAGTTCTCTGAATGGTCAAATTAGATGAATCTCCGACAAAGCCACTAGTATTACCAAATCTTAAAAAACATTCTAAAAAAAACCAGAGAACACACCTGACAGAATAAGCTGTATAAAATAATGAAGACAATTCTGATGAAACAAGCCACAACAAAAAACAAGGCTTGAATAGTTTTAAAGACGAGTTTTACTTCAAAAAAAGCACTTAGCTGATCGCGAAGTGCCACGTATTACAAGAAGAAAATACTGATTACCAATATTCCAGAGCCTTACTCAGTTGACAAAACAATTCTGAAACAAAACGTCTAGTCTGACGCTCAAAAAAAGAAAAAAATTTCAATAGCAAATTGACATCAGTGACTTGCGACTCTCGTCATCTAAGCAAGAACGATAAAACCGTGTTTTTTATTCAAGAATAATTTAGCTGTTTGACTAAAAGCAAACTAGAGAGAGTTCAAGAGTATTTATCCCGAAATGCTCCGTTCTCTGACTAGTGCACGTTTGAATGAAATGATAAAGAAATAAAAAAAAAAAAAAACAATATAAAGGGTGCCAAACAGTATGACTTTTGTTCAAATAACTCATATCAAGAGTCCACTCCCTACCATCCAGATGCATGTTTTTAAGAGGATAAAATCGGGAGAGGAAAATGCGCCCTTACCATAACTTTCTAGTAGCTGAATAAAAAATTAAGATAAGAACGAGTTGTTGTAGGTGGATTTAAAAATATTATCTGAAAAGTTAAAAACCGAGACCCGTGCGACACTTTTAATTGGGCTTCGAAAAAAGTTAAACAAAATCAACCATCTCTTCACCACAAATTAAGAGAAAAGAGTAGAAAAGCGAACTTAACTCTTGAATACTAAAAATCTTGAAAACTGATGAAGAAGAAATCAAACAGAATAAAGCAATTGACAGTGCATTAACTGCATTGAAAAATTAAAATCTTTAAACTTCAAAAAAAGATACCTCTCCAACGGTGACTTTATACTTGCTTATGCTACTCAACAAAGATAATCGCCCTGGCACTGTACAGAACACATCATCTGAATTCGCTGGTGTCGAAAGAATTGGAGAAGAAGAACCTGAACTTTTTTTATCGCTAACAAATATAAAGCACCCGAAATAAGATTTTTTAAGTAAACTAGAACCAACCTTCAATAGTCCCATAATCTGAAGACTCACTATCAGAATTATGCTCTTCAACAATCAATTCTTCATTGTCATTATTTGAACCCGATAAAGATGCCTAAAAGCAGAGCGCACACTTTATCAAGTTGCGTCTTCCACGATGGCTCAAAAAAATTTATATGTAAACAAATGGTGAAAAACTGATTTAGTTTTAAAGAACACTAAGCTATCACAGTAAAGGGAAATTTCGACTAAATAACTTTAAAAATGACAATGTGTTTGACTATTTCTTTCTGAATATAAGCAGTCGAAAAACGAACAGCCTTCTCATCGTCAACCACTTCTTGTTTCGATGGTTCTCCCAAAATAAAATGGTTCGCTGTCTCAACCCCAACATTTTCTTCTCTAAATACATCTCGAGGTAAATATTTAGCCCTTTTGGCGTTTTCAGACTCTACTGGAGATGACGCACGTTTTGTTTCCGTCATCCGTCTTTGCAATAATTTCGTGCTGATTCGATCAATAGCTGAACGATCTTGCCGAGAAGACAGCATGAGCACGCTAAAATGTAATATGCGCAATAAATATAAGTCTAAATCAACCAAAAAATACGATGAAATGTAGAATTAAGTGATATAAAGCAATTAATTAGTAAAAAAGAAAAAACAAGACATCGTGATAAAAAAATAGTAACAAACGAAAAAATAAAATAGAATGATAAAAAAATACAAAACAGAAATACACAGTCTAAAACTGCATGAAGCATCTGCACGCAATGCACAAAAATCAAATTACATTGCGCTTATTTGCCTTTCGACGAAATAGTTCTAATATCTCCCCCCACCCCCAATAACCCCTCCTTCCCCCTTTCTCTCCAGCTTCCTAACTAATGACAGTGACATTTCTGTAGCTCCCGATTCAAACATAAAATAAAGAATGACAACGAAGAGCAATGAAAATACTCAAGTATTTGAAAGGTATCTTCCCCTCCTC